GGATCACAACAGAGGGTTCTGGACAGAGCTGGAGAAGGATGTAGAACAAAATTCTAACACACACAAAAAAAGACCAGACTTACTGGCCTGAAAAAGACTGGAGAAACCCTGAGAGTATGGCCCCCAGACATCCTTTTATCTCAGTGGAAGTCACTTAGAAAGGAGAAGGCTGACATGTCGTAGGGTTGTTAACCAACGTCATAACAACAATATGGGTACAGACTTTTTAATGAGAAACTATTTGTTCTGTAAACCTTCACCTAAAGTACAATACAAAAAAAAAGAAAAAGTAATAAGGAATAATTATTTGGAAATAAACCAAAAACTTACGGTATGCATAAGTTCTGAGAAGGAATGTGTTTCTTATTCCGACAATATTGTTTACATTCAAGTCAAACTCCACACAACTATTAAAAGACGAAACAAAACTTTAGCTCTAGTACAAACTAAACTAACTCCCCAGTAATTAATACCCACCCATCTAATGATGCAAAACAGTATGAGCCCCCAGTCCAAAGAGCTGTGTTTTTTAAATGAGGCAGTAAAGTAATAAGAATGAATACATACTCAGGATATCATTTTAAAATGATTTGGTGTATATTAATATAAAATAAACTACTGTTGAAAGATCTATAATGTACTGGTAATGCTCCAATTACTTGACAAAATAAATTTTAAAATCTTGCGATCTTTTCCAAATAAGCAATATTGCATGGCCAAAAACATTTCTGAGCAAGCTATCCAACTAAGTTATATATTCTCAAATAATTTGGAACTGTAGCATGATTTACTTTTTAAAAAATGGAAATAAGAAGCCAAATAAAGTACAGGAGAAAAAAATAAAGGCTCTGTCTACACATTATGTTTGCTCCAAAAAGTCTGGCAAATTATTATACCACGCGAAATTTAGCTATAATGATCAAACAAATAAATAACACAAGGGATACTGCTTTGAAAGCAAAAGCATCATGCAACGAACAAGTTAAGGGAAAAAGGGGCAATAATTATATTCTGGGTATTATATCCTTCATTAAAATGAAGAGCAACTTGTTTAATCATAATTGTGTTGACAACAAACCCCTCAATATAAATACACATCAAATTTCATCAATTAAAATACGTTACTGAGAACACATTAATTTCCAAAAGGCAGGAGCTACCTATATTTTATTACATGTTATAGATCCTTGGAGCCCTGGTGGCACAGTGGTTAAGAGCTCAACTGCTAACCAAAAGATCGGCAGTTCGAACTCACGAGCCGCTCCTTGGAAATCCTATGGGGCTGCTCTACTCTGTCCTATAGTGTCGCTATGAGTTGGAATCAACTAGATGGCAACGGGTTTGTTTGTTTGTTTTTATATATTCTAGCAAATATATATACATATATACAATATGTACTATAATGTATACTATATATTATATATCCTGCCTTCTATGAAGGGAAACTAAAAATTAGTTCTTAAATAAATGAGTTTACTATGTTGGACAAGATGATGCTCCACAGTATTTTCCAAAAGGTATATTAATGAGATTATGCCACCAGAGTAGGATCAATTATTCTACTATATGAGGCAGTATATAAATGACTTGGAAAATTTCACATACAAAGCATATGATCAACTCAGATGTAAAAAATAGATTTTTCAAGCAGTAGAATATGGCCTATTACATTAAATGTTAAGAAAACTATTATATTTAATATATGCTGTATTTTAAATAATCTACCACTGGCATGATTACTTACAAAAATCTCTGAAAAGCATTTTAGTAAATTTGTTTCCTAATAGTTTTCCAAATTATAGGTGTATCCATTAACAATGTCCACAGATTTTGCAGAAAGTAAAGGGAAGTTTAGAAAGGATCAGAGAGATCTGAGTTAAACACTCTGCTCCAATTTTTTAAGTACAGGGTAGTTTCACTGGTAAATAGCCTTGAAATACGTCATTTCTTTATTAAAATATGCATTCAGGAAATGAGCAGAATTTTCACATCAGTTATTTAATTTTCCAGGTTTCAACTTTAGCTCAAAGATACGTTACGTATAAAATTAAATTAGTTACATTTAGTTATAATCCCCCACTGCCGTCGAGTGGATTCCCACTCACAAAGGCACTAGAGGACAGAGCAGAACTTCCCCATACGGTTCCCAAGGCTGTAATCTTTACAAAAGTAGAGTGTCACATCTTTCTTCCATGGAGCAGCTGGTGGCTCTAAACTGCCAACTTTTCAGTTAGCAGCTGAGTGCTTAGCCACTGCGCCACCAGAGCTCCTTTAGTTACAGTTAAAAAAAAAAAAAAAAAAAAAAAACCAAACCCATTGCCGTCAAGTTGATTCCAACTCATAGGTACCCTATAGGACAGAGTAGAACTGCCCCATAGGGTTTCCAAGGCTGTAATCTTAACAGAAGCAGACTGCCACACCTTTCTCCTGCAGAGCCGCTGGTGGGTATGAACTGCCAATCTTTTAGTTAGTATGTCGATTAGTGGTGCTTATCCACTGCACCACCAGGGCTCCTTCTTAGTTATAATAGATGGATTTAAAGACTCTACTACCTCTGCAGTACAGTTTACAACTACTAGAAGTCCCAGTTTATCTGTACCTCCAAATCAAACCAAACCCATTGCCATCGAGTCAATTCGAACTCATAGCGACCCTACAGGGCATAGTAGAACTGCCCCATAGGGTTCCCAAGAAGAGGTTTGTGGATTCGAACTGCAACCTTTTGGTTAGCAGCCATAGCTCTTCAGCCACTGCACCACCAGGGCTCTAGGATATGCAATTCAACTTTTGGCTAACACCAAGACTTTCCAAACTGAATTAGAGTGGAAATTGTGAATGTGTGCAAAAAAGCAAAGGAAGTAAAATTGTCACAGAAACCCCTAAGTAAGAACTATGTACATAATTTTAGCGTGTAAACCATGCAGGATCTTAGAAACTACCAAATAACACCTCTCTCTAAAACAAAGATGAAACAATGTATCAAAATCCCTATTTTCATCAGATACCATTATAAGCAATCACACGTATGAAAAGATGAGTGTCTGGGGTAAAAGACAAAATCTATGAATCTGGAGCTGAATAAAGCTAATTGATCATATGGACATGGAACAGAAGAGATAACCTTATCTTCTTACCACTCATTCTAAGCACCAGCTGGCTTATTTGTAAACCAGAATTTGTGTAAGAACAGAAGTGAAATCCTCCTTCCAAAAAACAAAGGCCTTTTTATACGTAATAATATCCTTCTCTTACAATTTTGTTTTTTGTTTTTAGCGAAAGAGTAGATGCCAAAAGATTCTAGATCACTTAAAAATCTAATATATATACGTATACATACATTCTTTAAATTGGATAAAGTTTCAAAAACTCAAAATGTCAAGCACAATAACTAGTAGTTAAGTATGAGGAAGAATTGCTCATCATTTCAAAGACCAAATCAAGTGATTTCTAAAAACTGACAAAGTTATTACACTGTAGCATACATTTCTCAATTATGTACATCACATGAATATCTAAAAATGATCTAAAGCAAATGAAAAAGGGGAGTTCAATAATTACTTACTTGACTTTATCCCTGAACTTAACAATTGGCACTTTTGCTCGAATCAGTTGAGGTCTCTCAATGTAGCCAGCTAAAACATAAACAGTAAAATGTGAATACCTATAAATCTTCCTTAAATTCATAGTGCTACAATGCACATTTTTAAAAAGTTGTACTTTACTAAGTTGAAACAATTAAACTGTAGTCTTTAAGAAAGAAGACAAAGAAATGAGGATATCACCGAATTCTTCTATGACTGGAAGGTCTAGTCTTTAAGATGGCTTTTTATTAAGGTTATTTTCAGAAATGCAGTCTAATAACTTTATATCTAGGCCAGCAACGGGAGGATATCTAAAACTCTGGTACAGCACATGAGATATTATGTAGCTATAAAAATAACATTTACAAAGAACTTTAAGTGTGAAAATGCCTGCAACATGATACATGGTGGGAGGGAGTGTACAAGTAAGATAAATCTCTAAGAGGAAAAACACATAAATATCTATTTTTTTCATTCCATCAAACTTTTGAAGATTTTTTTTCTGAGTTTAAAGTAATACATGTTCATTGTAGAAAATCAGGAAAACACAGCAATGTATAAAGAAGAAACTCTATAAACCTTTCCCAAATGAGCAATTTCCTCAATTTTAAATAAAGGAAAAACAGATTTTTAAAAAACTAAAAATTTTGTTATAATGTTTTTACCACCAAAATCATAAAATAAATCAAGCCTCAAAATGGAAATTATGTGTAGGAATTCAGTGAATTTTAATGGAAAAAAAAAAACATTAGGAGTTCAAAGTTTTGAGTTCCAAGTACAGCTTCCGGCACCAACAAACTATACTCCCTAGACAAGTTACTAAACCCAAACCCATTAATCACCAGCCACTTTAAAACAGTAATTTAAAAAAAAAAAAAAAAAGTCATTTGATGATCTCTAAGGTCCTCTCCATTTTTTAAATTTTATGATTCTAATAATAGCTATTAAAAATTTACTTAAGGTAATAAAGGGCATCTTTGTCTTGTTCCTGTTTTCAAGGGGAACGTTTTCAGCCTCTCTCCATTAAGAATGATGTTGGCCATTGGTTTTGCATAGATTCCCTTTATTATGTTGAGAAATTTCCCTTCTATACCTGTTTTATTGAGAGCTTTTATCAGGAATGGGTGTTGGACTTTGTCAAATGCCTTTTCTGCATCAATACAGAAGATCATGTGATTCTTTTCTTTC